TTCATGGTTTTCTTTTTTCCCCCGTGTGAAGCTGAATACTTGCTCGCCCTGAACTACTAAGATAAAAAGCTTAGGTTCCTGTAACGTTATGTATCTGATCATTAGTTTGTACTAGAGTGGTACGCGGTGAAGTTGCTAGATATTACTAAGGGTTGCTGGAAACCTATAAGATAATGTTAACTGAAGTACTGAACCAGTCAACGCCATTTCTTCCTGGTATTTTTGTTTAGATTTTGATTTTGCAGACTGCTTAGGAGCCAGGTTTTAATGGCTGATGGAATGATTTGTTTTATGCCCTTCTGCAGGAGTGCTGTCTAGAAACTAGCTATGAACTACCGATTTCAAAATCTGCTCGGTGCTCCTTACCGGGGAGGGAATGCCACAGTCATCCAGAATACCCAGCTAATCTCTTCGGTTGGAAACCGTGTCTCTATCACAGACCTTTTGAAGTCCCAAACCGTTACTCTCCCCTTCCAGTCGTCCTCTAACATACGCCGGCTTGCAGCCTCGCCTGATGGCACATTCCTCCTAACTGTCGATGAGAACAACCGTGCTCAATTTGTTAACATTCCAGCCCGGGTGTCCCTTCATCGCATACATTTCAAGCATGGGGCTGTACACGCTGTGCAGTTCAGTCCTGATGGTAAATATATTGCAGTGGCTACTGGCAAATTAGTTGAAATCTGGCTGTCTCCTGGCTTTAAGAAGGAACCCTTTGCCTTCCACTTGGTTAGGACTCTGGCAGATTGTGAGGCTACAGTTACTGCATTGGAATGGAGTTTAGATTCTAAATATCTTCTTGTTGGCTCTAAGGATTTGACTGCAAGACTGTTTTTGGTTGAGAGACTTAGTGAAGGGGTAACGAATAAGCCATATTTGTTTTTAGGACACAGAGATACAGTTGTTGGTTGCTTTTTTAAGTACAGCAGGAATAGCACTACCCCAAACCAGGCTTACACTGTTACACGCGATGGTTACATATTTAGTTGGGGTTATGGTGGCTCTGATGGAGCTGGAGATGTTGATAAGCTCCAGCATGATGAGCCTCTTTCCCCAGGAACACCAGAAAAAGATGGGGAAGAAATTTTGAGTGGTGGAACTGAAAGTAATGCGAAGAAAAGAAAGAATCATGATATGGAAGGGGATGACCCTTCTTCGAAAGAGTACTTGCATAAGGGGAAATGGCATTTGCTTCGGAAAGATGGGCTTATGCAATCACCAGCAAAAGTCAGTGCATGTGATTACCATAGGGTATTGGATATGGTTGTGGTGGGATTTTCTAGTGGTGTTTTTGGGTTATATCAGATGCCAGATTTTGTTTGCATTCACCTACTGTCAATATCAAGGGAGAAGATCACTACAGCTGTGTTTAATGAGATTGGTAATTGGTTAACTTTTGGGTGTGCAAAGTTGGGGCAACTGCTTGTATGGGAATGGAGATCAGAGAGTTATGTGTTGAAGCAACAGGGTCATTATTTTGATGTCAACTGTTTGGCTTATTCCCCAGATTCTCAGTTGTTGGCTACTGGAGCAGATGATAACAAAGTCAAGGTAAATGGATTCATAACATAGTTGAATGCTCTAGTCTTGACCTTCCTGTGTCTATATGTTTGGGTTTGCTTGATATGGGCTTTGAATGCGAAGACTGTTCTGAAGATCATGGGATACATTAATCTTAATCATATGCTATCCTCTGATCACATTACTTTTTCGGCTCTTACAGTTGATAGTTCTCTTTCTTTCATGGTCACTGAGAAGTGAATTTATGGTATACAGGTCCTTCTGTATTCGTTATTTTGCTCTAAAATGTAGTATGAAAGAAAATATGATTTTTCTTGCTGTTTAGGCAATTTAAAGGCTGTCATTTTTTTATATCGAAAAGTCAATTCATTACTGGTATTGAACTGCATTCAGTTGTGTCATTTGGGTTGGGTAGCAAAGTATTAGTTGTTGAAACCTTTTGGGGACTATCGCCTCTTCCCTTTTTTAGGCCATTTATACTTTGCATTTTTGAGTTCTAATGCGAACATATTTCATTTTTGTGAGTAATGTTGCATGCATATTTCACATGTGAATATAATTTTTTCCTTATCTCCTTTTTGGTATTTTGCATGATTTGCTACCTGTTCTCCTTTGGTCTTGATTATTGTGTGAATTCACTATTGCTTGCAGGTGTGGACTGTCTCGTCAGGGTTTTGCTTTGTAACATTCTCAGAGCACACCAATGCTGTTACAGCACTTCATTTTATGTCTAACAATCACTGCTTGTTAAGTGCATCACTAGATGGAACTGTACGTGCATGGGATTTATTCCGCTATCGGAATTTTAGGACATTTACCACTCCGTCATCAAGACAATTTGTGTCCTTGGCAGCAGATGAAAGTGGTGAAGTAATTTGTGCAGGAACTCTAGATTCCTTTGAGGTACATTGTCCTGTTTATAAGTCTTGAAACTACTTTTGCACCATACACTAAAGTTCAACAAAACTAATATAATCTCCAACCAACAGTGCCGTGGCACTACTACATAGTACTCATCATGCTTCTGGATTATGATTGGTTTATTATTATGTGTCATATGCAACAGATATTTGTTTGGTCGATGAAGACTGGCCGTTTGTTGGATGTGCTCAGTGGTCACGAAGGTCCAGTTCATGGGCTGATGTTTTCCCCAACAAGTGTGAGTTCTATTTTTGTTGTTGGTGTTTGTTATTTTAAGTTAAATCCAACCCATTCCACCCAGTGATTTTTTTCTACCTGCGTGATATGTGTACCTGAATATTTTTGTCAAGCTGTAGCTTGCCTGCAGTAATTATTCATTTTATTGTTGTGTGTCTACATATGATCACATTTTGATATAAATGGTTACCGTTTGTTAATTTTATCCTGTTATATGTAGGCAATCTTGGCATCATCTTCCTGGGACAAAACTGTTCGCTTGTGGGATATTTTCGAAGGAAAAGGTGCTGTTGAAACGTTTTCTCACACACATGATGTTCTGACGGTGGTTTATCGTCCAGATGGGAAGCAATTGGCTTGCAGCACATTAGATGGTCAAATTCATTTCTGGGATCCAATCGATGGATCTCTAATGTACACCATTGAAGGTCGAAGAGATATTGCTGGAGGCCGCCTCATGACTGATCGCAGATCAGCTGCTAATTCAACAGCAGGGAAATGCTTCACAACATTAAGCTATTCTGCTGATGGGAGTTACATTTTGGCTGGTGGAAATAGCAAATACATATGCATGTACGATATTGCAGATCAGGTTTGTGCCCCTATCTAAGCTTGATCTAATCTTGTATCTTTAGAATTCCAATAGATTATTTGTAATGGGAAGTGCGCCAGAAGAAATGAACGCTAACAAATGTATACCAGCTCATACTGTCCCTTATAGCCCTTATATGTTAATCATCCTTTCAAAGAGTTGGTCCCTTATAGCCCTTATATGTTGGTCCCTCACTCCCTACCCTAACTATGTTTTCTTAACGCATGATCTGCATGCTGCAACATATTTCAAAGAGTTGTCAATGTGCGATGGCTTGCTTTTTGGGGAATTAGAGGTAATTAATCTGTTGAGGTTATTCATGGACAGGTTCTCTTACGCCGGTTTCAAATAACTTTCAACCTCTCTATGGATGGAGTGCATGACTTCCTGAACTCCAAGAAAATGACTGATGCCGGTCCCCTTGATTTGATCGATGACGACGACAGTGATGCCGAGGAAGGTGTTGATATACAAACACGGGGTAAGTTGGGTGGTGACTTGCCCGGGGCTACCCAAAATCGAGGAAGGCCTATAATTCGAACAAAATCCCTTACGATTGCACACACAGGGCGAAGCTTCGCTGCTGCTACAACTGAAGGGGTTCTAGTTTATTCAGTTGATGAATCTTTCATATTCGACCCCACTGATCTGGACATTGATGTGACACCAGAGGTAACTCATTTGGGTCGCCGTATTGATTGCTACTCACGATGCCCTCAATTAAATGTTTCGGTCTCCTGCTAATATACTATTGTTTCAATGTTAATCATCGTTTCAGGCGGTTAACCAAGCACTGATTGAAAATCAACCGAGCAGGGGTCTAATCCTCAGCTTACGACTGAACGAGGATTCGCTGATTAAAAAGTGTGTATTTGCTGTAAGCCCCGGGGATGTAGCAACTGTTGTGTCATCCATTCCTCATAGATACCTACAGAGGCTAATAGACGTGTTTGCTGATCTCTTGGAAAGCTGTCCTCATCTGGAGTTCATGCTCAGTTGGTGTCAGGTAATTGGGGTACACTCTGAACCATCATTTGTTTTCAGGTCTAGGAATCTTGATTTTTGACATTGTTCGACTTTGTTTTTCGTCGGCAGGAGCTTTGCAAAGCTCATGGTATCTCGATCCAGCAGCAGTCCAGAAACCTCCTTCCTGCTTTGAAATTCTTGCAGAAGGCCATCACCAGAATACACCAGGATCTGGCTGATACATGCTCCTCCAATGAATATATGCTTAAATATTTATGCTCTACAACCACAAGCAAGTGAAGGGTACTATCATTTGGTGGAGAGCACAGCGTCGACAGCATCGATCTGGATAGCTGAAGGTAATGTACATTGGAGCAACTATGAAGGAAACCAGTAAAGTGCAACGAGGATGGAAGCATGAAAGAGGTTCTCAATTTTGTCCTGCCATTTTCAGTTTTTAAAGACCTGCAAAACCCCTTTGTTGTGTGTTTGGAATGGAAAATAGATTGAGAAATGAATCTCATTTTGGTGAAAATTTTGGAAATTAGAAATCTATCGGAAGTTGTAGGAATTCAGTTTACGTTAATGCCTTATTATTTTGCTATTTTATCCTCATTTGGATTTCCGTTCCCAATATAAAACAAACTTAATTAGTTATTAATTTCGTAAATACGACTTATTTCCATTATTGAGAATTATATCAAATACAAACGATTGAAAATAAAATTCTACCAATATAAGAAGTAAAATTTCATTTTTGATTCTAACTGAATGCGTTCCTGGCCGGCGACGAATCGCGGCCGCGTTTCTTCCTTCTATCCGGCGAAACCCACCGCCCGTTCGACCAATCAAGATGAGGTCGCAGCTTCGAAACAGGGTAAGCAATCTCATCCCCTGTGTAATCAAAGTAAACATGGTACATCATCCCCTTCTTCCCCGTCACTCTGCCGACCCACCAGGCATCGTTGTCCCACGCATCCACCGCTTCCATCGGGCCGAATCCCCCGCACCCAAAGCGGATTCGCGGCGGGAATGGCCGGATGAACTCGCCGGAGACCGTTTCGATCAGAAGCTCCGACTCGTCCTCTGTTTTGACCAGATTGACATACTCCACCTTGTACTGGTTCGAACCCAACACCTCCACCACATTCCCCTCAAAGTAGGAACCGTGAAACCCTTCTTCCTCGCTCGCTACTTCGACGCGGTCGCCCCGCCGAAACGCGGCCGTCTTCATGATCGCGTGCTTGCTGGGGTAACAAAAATGACTCGCCGCCGGCGGGACTCTGTTCTTGATGTAAGTTCTTGGAGAGACTGTTTAACTGTGGAGGGGGAATTTTTATAGCTTAAACATGTAAAAATCCTTACGGAACTAGGAAAGATTTTGTGGAATCCGAATCCGTGCAGGAAATTGGAAGCGCGGGAGAATGGAAACAGGGGACAGGAACGGCTACGGAAGGATTTAAAAAAATGGCTAACTAATACGATTCATAACAAAATACTACAATATGCATTTCATTTCCATCTTATGAAAAGAATTGTATAATGGATAGTATCTACAAAATTTCAACAAATCAAAATTGTTGGAAACTCCTTATCTAAACTTTTGTATTTCGAGCATACATGCATTTTGTAGAATACAATATCTATTACTTGATTTAATAAAAAAAATGTACAATACATGATGTATTTTTAATAAATAGAAAATTCCATATACTGAATTTAGAGATGAAAATTTTGATCTAACTTGTTTTTCCCTATCTGTTTGACTTATTTTGGAATGGATATTACCAGGCCCATAGTCAGGACAAGCTTGAGTACTATCCTCGATCTGAATCTTCTCATTTCCCAGACGTTTTTGCCTAAATTACATGTAATGATACACGGATTACTTAGAATTTTACTTTTATCACCTCAGTAACGAAGTTGTAAATAGACGAGAACCTTGATTTCTCGATTACTTTAATTACCTTTACCATATAATAATTTGTGTCTTGGGGTTTTAATGAAAAATGAATATTACTAATATTTTTCTTTTTAAATTACATACCCATATGAGTTGACGGACCCCGATCTACGCCCCATAATAAATTATCCGACTTGTAATGGAGCATATATGAGTATCAAGATACCTCCTTCGAACATGCCCGATTGTCATTCCTAATTGAAACTCTTCCTTATTGTGAGATTTAATATCCATAGTTTATAATTCATATATTAAATTCTTAAAATTCACGTCTTGAATTTAATACACATATTCTTTTGATTTGATTGATTTCACTAGTATATTAGGTGTAGAGATGTAGACTAACGGCTGCTTGTTCATGGGCCCAGATAATGCTCAACATCTCGACTCAAAGCCTTAAGAAATAAACAGGCCCATTTCAAAATCTAGCCCATTATCTGCTTCGCCATATAAATGTAGGGTTTAGGGTTTCGCCCTTCCCTTCTCTGCCTCGCCTGTAGCTGTTCCAGTTCAAGTTTCGGTGTTCCTGGCAATCGCATAAATTTCCTCCGCCGCGCTCTTTCTTCCCGGCAATCGCAACCATGGAAGTCGAAGCTCCAGTTCCTGTTGCAGCGCCCACTACTGGTCCGGTGGAAGTCAAGTTGTTCAACCGCTGGACGTTCGAAGAAATCTCGGTACGTTCTGTCACTCGATCCTTTTTTTTTTTTTTTTTTTGCTTCGTTCTCGTCTTTCCTCGAGTCTCGTTGTCTGGAATCACACCGTTGCTCTTTCTGTGTACGATTTTCGATATGCTAACACCCTCTAATTAGGGTTTGCACATTCGTTTGCGATTTGTATTCTTGTAGATCAACGAAATTTCCTCGCCTGAGTAGTTTAGGGAGTGGGAAAGAGTTGGTGCTTATGGATTTGCTTGGAGGCTCTGATTTTTTCCCTAGTCTAATTAGGGTTTATACGTTTGTTTTGTGACTGGTATTGTTCTAGGTCAATGACATTTCCTTGGGGGATTATATTGGCGTCCAATCGGCCAAGCATGCAACTTTCATTCCCCACACAGCAGGGAGGTACTCGGCCAAGCGTTTCAGGAAGGCCCAGTGCCCGATCATCGAGAGGCTTACAAACTCTCTCATGATGCACGGGAGAAACAATGGCAAGAAGCTGATGGCTGTCAGGATTGTGAAGCACGCCATGGAGATCATCCATCTCCTAACTGATCAAAACCCGATCCAAGTCATTGTTGATGCTGTCGTCAACAGGTCAGTGAGATCATAATCTGAGAGCGAGCGAATTGTATTGGTTTGTGGGTGAGTTTGTTTCTCAATAGTATTTTTTTCATTTGCAGTGGTCCTCGTGAAGATGCAACTAGGATCGGTTCGGCTGGTGTCGTGAGGCGTCAGGCTGTGGATATATCTCCACTCAGGCGTGTCAATCAGGCCTTGTACCTCTTGACCACCGGAGCTAGGGAGTCTGCCTTCCGTAACATCAAGACTATTGCGGAATGCTTGGCGGATGAACTCATCAATGCTGCAAAGGGATCCTCGAACAGGTTTGTTTGCTTATGGATTGATCTGTGTTGATTGTCATTGGATGCTCGGTTTGCTGATTACGCCCTCTCTGTTTTGGTTTCCAGCTATGCTATCAAGAAGAAGGACGAGATCGAGAGAGTTGCCAAAGCCAACCGTTAAGAGATTTGTGTACGTCTGCTGGTATCTTTAGGGTTAGCCTGTCTTGCTTGGGAATGCCGGGAGAATTTTGCTGCTAGACTTTTAAGTCGATGTTGTTTTTATGTCAGTTAGTGCATACCTGGAGTATGTTTGGATGCTGGGTGCTATATTTTTGTTAAGTTGATACTTTGAACAATTTCATGCTGAATCATTTCTTCAGTTTGTTACTCATCTCTGATGTTATTATATCCTGATATGCCTATATCTCGTGGTCTATTGGTTAAATTAACAGGTTTGCCTGGTTGCTTGCAAACTACTCTACGCTATACACAGTTATGCACTACTCTTGACTCTTTCCCTCACCACTGTAGTTATTTGTGTCCCTCTCTTGTATACTGTCTACGACACGTTTTCATAGTAGCACGGTGAATCTTTGCTCCAGCTCTAGTGTCGTAGATGCTGAACACTCGAGTGTTATCGAGTTTCAGAATTGTGATTGAGATAAGGCAACTCACTTCTCCTTAAGTGGTTGTAGCCCGTACTTAGCAATGTAAAGTAGACAGGGTTTAGAGCCAGAAAGTTACACATATCTAACCTAGGCAGAGAATATGGTTGGCTATTGTCCAATCTCCCAAACAAAATGCCCAGAAAACTTGAAGCAAAAAGCTGATTGATCATTAGCTCCCAGCAGCAACCCTAAAACCCAATGTCTCTACACCCTGAGCTTTGATCTAAGCCCCTTCAGTTCCTGCCTAATGTTACAGAAACCCGGATAAAAATAGGCCTTATGAAGAACAAGCTCCAAAAAAAAGGGTCATATAACTCAGGATTTTGTACCCGCCCAGCAAGTAAGTACTTGAGTTCTTTTGAGTTATCTAAGAATTTTCAATAAAATCAGAATCCCAGTTTTTTTATCAAGCAACCACTAGCAAACTGTTAGTTGGAAACAAAACTAACCCTTAACAAACAATAAGTTATTAAAAAAATGACAGACAACAAGAGTATAAGACTCATGTAGACATGATGAACAATCACCATTCACCAGAATCGTTACTCATAAATAACCTGTTTTCAAATGGAAATATGTTAAAAAAAACTAGCAAGAGCTATGTACGAAATGTACAAGGCTACAAAAGGCAAGACTATAAGACGATGGCCAAAGGAGAGTGGATTGTTGCAAGTTCAGCAAATCAAGCCAAGATCATACACAATTCAGACTGAGCATTAGCTTCTCCCACCCTGGAATCCCCCAAAGTCTCCCCACTGGTGGCGGAGTCAGAAACCGGGATGAGTGGATGCTAATTTGAACGGTTGTAATTGGTAAGGGAGTTGAGACTTTATCTTTATCGACTACTTGATTTTCTAAATTTGTTAAAAAAATTCACGTGTAATTTTACTTATATTTCAAAGTTAATGGACCATAGGCTCTCCTCCCTTCAACATAGCTTCAACATTCTCCCATGCACCATGAGAATAGTTGCTCGGTCGTGGCTTCTCCAATTGCTATCGAAGGATTTTAGAAGAGCTAATCCAGAAAGTTAGGGAACAACGATGACAAACATGATGTGATAGAAAGACATGAAACTTTTTGATTCTGATACACCAATATACTAGATAAGTGTTGGAAGTGTTACTAGTGACGCCAAGTTGTATACGCTAAGTAGTGGTGGACCAGCTGGGAGTACTATCAGTGACGTCCAACAGGGACATTCAAAAGTGACGCCTGACAATGATGCATGACCGAGAAGTCTGATCGGTTGACGCTCGCTACAACTATATATATAAATGCTTCCCAGACCTCTACGAAGGGGGAACTCAACTTTTTATCCACACTTTAAACTTGGGTCTCTCTCTAAATATTCTCTCAACTTAGTTTAGCCATGAACTGACTTGATCGTCGGAGTACAATTCAGGGGCATCCCCATCTTTCCATTGGTTCTCTTTTTCCCCGACGAAATCGAACAAGCGGATCAAGAATTAAGTTTCACATTAACAAATAATCATTGTTCGTATCCTGAACTAGGCGACAAACAATAAATTTTCATGGTAAAAGTAGACTAAAAGATTCATTAACCCTAGAAAGAATATATATATATATATATATATATATATATATATATATGTATGTATATATATATATATATATATGTATGTATGTAAATCCCAAATTACAAGACATGTAGAAGTAGGGCTACAATGAAATGCATACATATCTCTCACAAAAAAGAAGCTCTTTCATAACTCTCAAGAGACCCCAAAACGGGACCGCTTTGCTGTATCTCTATACAATCTGGCCTATATACACAAAAACCTAAACCACTGAGACAAGCAAAAGGGAACTTACATTACAAGCATGCTTTGGTTCCCATGAGAGTTCGAAGGCTGGAAAAAGTTGAGAGACTACTTAATTGCTTACTGTAAATTAATTAGTGGCCTCATTTTCTTTGCTTAATTATTACAAACAAATGCATCTTACTTAATCATCCATTATTAATGTAACTAGCTCGCTAGCTAGTAGGAGGCCACGGCTATCTGCATCTCTGCTTCATTGATCGGCAAGAAACTCACACGTTTCTGCACCAAATTACGAAATGTGCACAAAGGTCAGATGCTACACGAATTAACAATTTACGCAAAATGAATTACCAAGGTACTTTCTTCTATTTGTCATAATAGTTATTAATAATAAAATATTCCATTTATCTCTGTTAATTTCTAAACTATATATATTAAATACAACACAAAAATTTCAAAAAAAAAATGAGAAAAAAAATGTAAATTCCTCGAGCTCAGTTTTCTGGATCTAACTAACAGCTCCGCGTTAATATATTTTTCCATGAAACGAGGGAAAGACTTTTCTGTAACCAACTTGTCTAGCCGTCAAAGGAGCGCGGAGCGAGAAGTATCCTTTTTCTAATTAAGCGCAAGCGTGAAAATGAGACAAAGTCAGGCGGAAAAGGTTGACTACGTCCTAGAGGACTTTTGCTAATTAATAGTAATGGTAATTTCTGATTTTATTTGTCTCAATCTATTTGGAGCGGTTATTATTCGACTCGTAGTAGCGTGGGATTGGACATGAAAATTGCTTTTGATATGCCCCTTCATGTTCTCCACCTATTTGATCATGATTTGCATTAATATATATACATATTTTTTCCTTTTTTGACTTTTCTAAAATTATATGTTCATCCCAAAAAATATTATAAAACTCTATATTTTAACTTTTTAGACTCAATTATTCTTTCTAAGTATTTTTTATGTGTTATTGTAAAAGAGTTGAATATCAACGTTTCTTTTCAAATAACTTATAAAAATGGATCGACTTGCTTCGTCTCGCACTCGAGCGAGTATTATTCGATCTAATTCTCACTTAGTATGAGGCGAGTATGGGTATTGAAATACCCGTCTGGCCCGCACATTGCCATAAGTACTAATTAAGCTTAGATCTACCCTTTTCTTTTATTAAATGAGAGGACTTGAGGGTTGACTGCAGGCGAGCGACAAACGCATGTGCATGGAGGATGGTGGGATAATTAATATTAATACGGCATTAATTAAGTACTCCTACACTACAATAGTACGTATCAAGAAATGGCATCAATCAAGAAATGGGTTATTAAGTCACTAATTATATTATCCCTAATGAGTCACTATCTCCCAAACCAAACAATTGACACTTCTTTTGTCCACAACCCTCTTCGTTTTCGACGTCATGATTCCCTCATATCCGAAATCAAACTAAAGAAGAAGAAAAGAATAAAGTTTGTCTTTTTAACAAGAAAATCAAGGCAATAGAGTTATTTAACTTGTAAAGCCATCAAATTATTTAATTTTTAGTGAGGTTCTACATATTCATTGTTTAAAAAAAATCACATTTTGCCATCACCAACAAAAATATCCCCTAGCCGTATTGTGTATTAGTGCCTAAACTAGGCAAAACAAAGCCAATTAGCACTCACTTTGACAAGATTCATTATTACTCCGGTAAATGTTAAACGTAAATGAGTCCGATTCAAACATTCAATTTAATATTGACCGGTCAACTAGTCTTATTTGCCACATAGCAGTAAATGGTTGACTGAATGATAAACCCTATTTGTACGAATCAGAATCAAATCCTTGATCTCATGATCGAAGAACACGGAATCAACCATCACAAATATTATTTCGGTAGCAAATTTATCAAAAAACCCAATTGATAAATTTGTGATACCAAAATTTAAAATGGGTTCCTTTAATTCAAGCATAAGCAAGTAAGCAGTCGTGCTTCAACTATAACACATTACAGTAGCGCAATAATTTCTAACCGTAAATTACGAAACAATTTTTTTCCCCCAATTAGAGGAACATTTTTAAAAAAAGTGAATTAAAGTCAAAAAATTTATGCTTAATTATCTATTCAGTCAAAATTGGTGTGCGATTAGGCATCGATCTTAGCTAGCACTTTATAATAAAATTGAGCTGACGAAAGCAATACGTAACTATCCACGTCACGTACCTTCATCACGCCGTCACGTCGTCGAGCACTGCTCCCCCCGCCGCCGGCGCCGACGGCGCTGCCGCTCCCTTCTCCTCCACCGCCGCCAACTTCACCACTCCGTCCACCACCAGCGCAAAGATCCATAATCCTCGCCGCGGCTTCACCCTCGTCCTTACTCTCCCTCATCAGCCTCTCCACCTCCGCCCTCGGCAGCCGCACCTTCACCCTCACCGTCCCGGCTTCCTCCCCGGCGCCGCCGTCCGCCACGGTGACGCTGCCGGCCACCGCCGCGGGCGTCATCAGCGCCGAGAGGTCGGAGGCCGACCTCCTGGCCAGCTTCAGGTTCTCCAGCCTGTCCCTGGCGGTGAGGTTCATTGGGCCCGACCAAACCCTCCTCGGGTTCGCGGCCCGGCCCACGGACGCGGCGGGCCCAGTTTTGGGGAGCTCCACGAGGAAGTAGAGCCGCTTGGGGAGCAGGTTCTGGTCTGGTTCGAGCGGTTTGGCCCGGGAGCCGAAGTGCTTGACCGACTCGGACTCGAGGAGGCAGTGGCCCGGCGGGTGGTCCTTCAGGACGTCCCCGGCTCGAACCGGGGTCTTGAGCTTGAAGGTCTCGCCGTCGAGCTTCATCACCTTGGCTCTCCTGTGCTTGGATCCTAGGCTGTTTCCCATCGTGCACGGCTCGAATAAAGTTAAACGTGTCTGGACGAGAAAGCAGTACTAAGATGGGCGAACTTTGAGAGAGGGAGAGGAACGACTTCTTAATTTCTCTGAAGAATAATGATGGCCAAAAGGTTTGGTGGTTGTTTAAGTAGAGAGAGAGATAGAGAGGATGGAAGAATTGCTTAGAAATGGGTTGTGAGATTTAATGGGAAGAGTCGTGGTTGGTAGTCGTGTAAAGGTCAAACAAAGAATGCAATTTGTTTTTGAAAAGTTAGACGAGAGGAAAGGTAGTACGTAGTGACTGGTTAAGATTTATGTTGATGGAAATTATACGATGCGGTGCGATTTGGATCGATTTGACCGTATCGTTATGTCGATCCTATTATCTGTTTTCGTATTTCGAGTTCTATCACTCCCATAATTTTATTTAGTGTACTTTGATAGCTACGTATGAACAAATTGTATTGAGTCTAAACGAAAAAAAAAAGGTACTAAAAGACAGAAGCTATTCAATTATTCCGGTGATTACGAAATTTCAGTTGGTGAAGGCTTGGAAATGTTGAAAATTGTGTATGAGTTTCATGATAAACATTGCCTATGAGGTCTGAAATTAGGTTTGAAATGTTGAAAATGTACTGAGTAGGGTACCAATGGTACGAAACATAATAGGAGAGAGAATTCTCATTTTCTCGAATATAATTCTCGAAGTTTGTCTTTTGGTTATCATGAAAATTTTGGGTTGTTGAAATTCTAAGCATGTTGAGGCCATTGATGTGTGCTCTACCTCTCGACATCTCATCTTGTTTCTTTGATCTCCAATAATTGAGAGATCCTCCCATGAAAACACAATTAAAAGCTTATCTCAACTTCAAGTTTGGTTCATTTGGGAAGAACAACCATTGCCCAAGTAAACCATGAACGTTAGACCTTGATCGTGGTTGAAGAGATAGGTTACACTGATGAAAGCAAAGGTGTATGTCCTGAACGGCTAAAGAAATTCTTAAAGGCGGTGGCGAGTGCGTTTCATATTCATGTTATGTCTTGTTTTCTTCCTGTATATTTCTAGTTATATCGGAATTTTGTTAGATACATAACTTGATTTTGGTGGGGGTTGACACATGAGATCCAATAATCTGAAAAGCTAAAATTAATTGAATAAGCAATTATTTTTTTTTTTTTTTACTAGGGACGACTGCATGCATGAATATTAGAATATATGATAATATATGTGTGAAATGTGTGTAGAGGTATGAACATATGGTCACACCTTTTACCATATCTTGTTTAGTTATGACCGTCAAGCAAAAGACAAACGAACAACAGCCAGTCAGTCAAGACGTGCATATTCAATTGTCTGGTCTTAGTTTTATGGTAACTGTCTTTTTCATTGTGTAGAAGTAATAATTGAAGGAATATATATGGTTTGTCGTCCATGTTTTGATCACTAGTAATAATAATAAATATTCGAAGGCAAGAAATTACAGGGGAAAGAATGCAAGAAGAGATTATGAGAAATGGTCAGAGCTGGGTGCCATTTTCGATTAATTATTTACTTAATTCCACCATGATCATGATGAAATCAAACCTTTTGTGTTGCTTGATTGTCGACCAAAAGATTTATATATAACGAAAAAGGAAGGAGGTAAAGGGTTGGCGGTAATCACGGCGGCTTTGAGTAATTCAAAACTTGTAAATTTTCTTCGCCATGCACGTGATCAACTCTGACTCCATTATCATTCTGGAATACAAGCTTATTTTATTCATTACTTCGTGGTAGAATCAGGAATCTGAATAAGAGATTGATTTAAACCGTCCTTAATTGGGAGAGGCCGTAAGACCTTAATGATCACGCTACGTCATTAATTGGGAGAGGAAAGTCGAAGGTTAAAGCCTTATCGATTGCTCTGTTTTCTATTATTGTTACAAATTTCATATGTAATTTTATCATATATTTCAAATTTGAAGGGCTATAGTCCTTCCTGGCTTCATACTAGCTCCTCCATTGAATTCGTCCATCACAGTTTATGATATTTTTATAAAAAAACAATTACTTTTACAATAACCAATTCCTTGATATTAGATCGTTTGAAAAATCGCTCAAAATAACATATAAAGTAAACTGAGCAATCTTTTGTTCAATGTAGATAACTAAATCATCACCAAGAAACTCATCATTCATTTTGTCTCGTAGTCTTTTCTTCGTTATTTTGAAATTTTTTCATAACTGAAACTACAAGTTCACCTGAAAATAAAAAAATGGGTGAGGCTGGCTAGGAATTTAAGATTAACTGGGCCTCCTCATGGGCCGTTCAGCCTTTGCTCGCTCTGGCCCAGAAATAACGATAAGCACTGCAGGGCCCTTGCGGCGTATTATTTCCTTGGGCCCGTAGGCCTGTCTAAGATTAGTCCCACTCGGCCCTTCCATCTTATTTCCACGGCACCGATAAGGTGGGACAAAAAATCATTTTCAATTTGCTTTGCACCAATAATAAAACTGGAAAATGATTATAATTTACACATATGAAACTAATGATTGTAAAATCGTGATAAAGGTGTATTTTAGTCGTTTCATATACCACTAAATACCGTCCACAAAGATTTAGCAGAAAAGGAAGAAAGAAAGGAAATTGAAATCCAGATTGAGTAGTGCATGTGTGTACAAATCAAATACCTTAAGCTTCTTGCGGCTAAAAAAAACAACAGACATGATAATATTCTTTTTTGTAAGATAATTAACGCAGCCGTCTTTCCTTCTCGCCGGCCGGCCGGCCGGCCGGCCGGTAGCTCCGCCTTGAAAACAAGGCTGTGTACAACAACACAATGAATGAAATAGAAAAGGCCACAATTTTGATTGTAATGGCGACACTTCTCTCTTTCCCCATCCTTTGATTTTTTTTTTATATCAACCCTTTTTTTCCTCGCAGCTGGCTGGAGGATCCAGCCTTTTTCACCACCTTTTATTTGTTGGGTTCCAGCAGTCGTTGCAAAATGTCATTTACGTAATAACAACAACGCACGTGTATGACATATAACAAAACAGAGGACTCTTTTTTTTTCCTTTTTCCCTTCCCCATCTTTGAACAACAGCCTGGATGTATTTTGCCTGTGCTGGCTGGGAAATGATTGGTTGAGTTTGCAAATTTTGACATCTGACTCCTCTTCCTGATTAATTAGTTGTAAACCAACAAAAGTAATGGCTAGCTAGGTGTTGTAAAGAAAAGATCAAAAGAACAGCAAGACAGCATTCGGCATCCAGGGATCGCGGACCGACCGTAGATTTGTTGGGTTTTCTGGTTTAAATCGGACCGGACAGGGATGGTTATTTAGCCGCCGCTTCTCTCGACCGGAGATCAAACCTAATTATTTGGTTGCAACTAGACTGATTTAAACGGTCCGGTTTTCGATTAAATTGAAAACCGGGAACCGCGTTTCCCACCCTAGTTTGGAACACAACTAAATAGAGGCCAATGTTGTGATATATTATTTAGCTTTATTATTAGGCAATTCCTTATTACCATAGGGATAACACATTTTTCATTTGTTTTGTAATTCTTTGGGTTATTACTTTGATCTTATTCGGATTGAAATTCTTAAATTTAAAATGCATCAATATTGGGTCATCATTTAAACTTCTCGTTTTTTCAATTTTCAATGTCCATTTTATGCAAGGTTGTCAATAAGGTTTAGCCCGATGGTCCGATGGAGTAAGTGGGTTGAGAGTTAATGGTCTGATCGCTTGAATTCGGTTCCGTTCGGATATATGAAAAAAGTTATTATATTGTTCACATATTTATAAATTATATCAAATCTTATATAACGCATGGTAATCACATATAACATTACACCAACATAAATGTTCGTACTTGAATACAACATATAGTAAAAATTCAAACACACTCATATATAACGTCAATATTCAAATATACAACTCAGAATTTCAAAAATAGGGTTAGGTGAAAGAGAAAACTGGAAAAGAGACGCAATTCACACACGAAAGGAGAGAACAATACCGAGTAACTTCCAACCTAGAAACCTTGCAACGAATGGACTAGTATTTGTATGGCTCCCGTTTGTTTACGGGATCCATGTCAAACTGCGAGTCGTCATTCATATCTCGCACTCGTATAAAACCCAGTTGCGCCAAAACGCACAATAATGTTATCACGTCAGTTTTGCCGTATTTTATAGCATGGTTCAAAACGGCGTGATTAGTCTAATAAAACGCTTCACCTAGACTAGGGTTGGATTTTCGGTTAGTTCGGTTATAACCGATAACCGAAATGTCAGCTACCGGTCAACCGCGACACCAGCATTGCCTACCGCCAACCGTCCGACGGAAGCCATCGGTTAGCCGGCAACCGACCGGTCGGTTACCGGTTAGTTGCTCGGTTAACCGACATGGAAGCCAAACAGTACTACTACCACGCCGTCCTGTTCCCATTCATGGCGAAAGGCCACATCATCCCACTCCTCCCCGTCGCCCACCTCCTCCGCCGCCGCCTCATCCGCGTCATCGTTCTCACCACCCCAGCCACCCGCTCCTTCATCGTCGACCACTCTTCCTCCGACGTCATCACCATCCCTTTCCCGCATGGAATCTTCCCTCCCGGCATCGAGAGCTCCGACAGGCTCCCTTCCATGTCCTCGTTCCCTCGATTCGCCATGTCCACCAAGATCATGCAGCCGGACTTCGAGCGCGTCATCGGTTCCCTACACAGTACCCGACCCGTCGATTTCTTGGTATCCGACGGGTTCCTCGGGTGGACATTGGAGTCCGTCAACAAGTTTGAGATCCCCAGGTTGGTGTTCTACGGGATGAGCTGCTACGCGTCTTGCATTTGTAAGGCCGTCGGAGATGGCAGCCTCCTCGCTAGGGCTTCGATTAGGGTTAGGGAATAGGAGGGCAGGGCGGCGGCGTTTTGTTTGAGTGGAGGGGGTTAGTTTTGCTGGTTAACCGGCGGTTATCACCGTCGGTTAGCCTGTTAACCGACATAGCTAGCCCCGCTACCGCCAATCGCCCAAAATTACAATTTTCGGTTAGCCGGTAACCACCGGTTATCGGTTTAACCGACCGGTTAACCGGCAACTGATAACCAAACGGCCAGCCCTGACCTAGACATGTCCTCCTTGAGGGAAAAGAAAAAAGAATGGAAACTCAAAATCCAGATTGAGCTCATGTGTGCCCAAATTATACCTTGCTTCTTCGGGCTAAAAAACAACAGACATAATAATATTCTTTTTTGTAAGGTAACGCAGCCGTCTTTCCTTCTCGCCGGCCGGCCGGCCTGCCGGTAGCTCCGCCTGAAAACAAGGCTGTGTACAACACACACAATGAATGAATAGAATGCTATAATTTTGATTTTTGATTGTAATGGTGACACTTTTCTCTTTCCCCGTCCTTTGATTTTCGTTATCTGAACCCTTTTTTTCCTGGCTGGCTGGTGGATCCGGCTTTTTTCCCCTTCTTTGAAGTTTGAACAACAGCCTGTCTGTATTTGCCTTTGCCTAATTGCCTGTGCTGGCTGAGAAATGATTGGTTGAGTTTGCAAATTTTGACATCTGACTCCTCTTCCTGATTAGTTGTAAACCAACCAAAGTAATGGCTAACTAGGTGTTGCTAAGAAAACAACAGTAATAGTGCCAGGGTCAGTGCTTGATTGATATCTAATTAGTCCCTCAACTTTCTCTGTGATGGATTATCAAGTCTCCATCAATTCAGATTGAGTCAACAAAGTCCTTCAAGCTCACATTTTGGTTTATGGAAGGGTGTATCGGTACGTGATATAAGATCTATTATTAAATATCTTCCAACGTTATGAGTTATTGGATCCAGTTGGTTTATGACAGGATATCTGAGCCTTCTTGTGACCGAGAAATCTTGTGTTCGTATTCCGGTGACATTATTAAGCAGGTGGTATTTTGAAGTATGTGCAAACTTCAATCCTTTTTTTTTTAATTGGCTTTCGTTTGAAGGATGTGTTAATAAGTGATATATAATCTATAATCGAAAACAAACCAACAAACATGAATAAGCCCACACATCGTGGGTCCGGAGATTGAGAATGTATATACAACAGCTTCTCCTAACTATCCGACCTAATCCAACTCGGAAAAAAAAAAAGGTTCCAAACCAGATCCGAAACAAACCAACAAACATGAATAAGCCCCCACATTGTGGGTCCAGGGCCGACCACCTTCATGCCCCCGAAACCTCAAACCGGGACGCTTCGTCCCTGAACCTAGGGCGGCGGTTTGAGGTCTTCGGTCCGAGGGCTTCATGGTGGTGGCTATGGGTTTGAGGTCTTCATGGGCTTTGGGGATTATTATGTATTTGTGTTATTGGGTTAAAGGTTATTAGGTTTAGTACGTGGGTATGGGTTTCATGAGCCATGTTGCAGCCGAGTAGTAGAGTAGTAGTTATGGGACGGGATACGTATTAAGAGTTGGGTCAGTTAGGGTTACGTATTAGGTTTTCTAAGCCTATAAATATGTACCTTTGACATTAGTTCCGTATCAATCAAATAAATCAAAGGTTTATAGACACCAACGTCTTTCTCTCGCTTGTGAGTTACAAGCAAAACCCTTGAATCGTGGGTTACGGTTCATCACGACCCGACAACAAGATTTCCATAACTTTTAGCTAGCGACATATAAAATTGTTTTCAAGTCATAGCAACGCATTAAACTAATCGAGGTGTTTCCATTCCATTCCAGTCTCATCAAAACATCAGCTGGTATGCAAGTGGTACTTGGAACGTCAAGGTGTGTTTCCCCAACACAAAAAGAACGGCGTGATGGTATTATTTTCAGTCTTACGTTCTCCAAGATCTCAAGGGTCGGTTGCGATCTAGATTTTGCTTTAAGAAGAGAAAAAGTTTGAGTGCCACATAAGAACTGCCTGCCACCCAACTTGCCTATCTAAGCATTACGACTTCCCAAGCCGCCTGATTGATCACAACATTTGGAAGCACGTTCGCCACCACCAGAGGGAATAAAAAATGGAGTCGTCATTCATATCCCACACTCATAAAACCAGTTGCGCAAACCCATAGTAATGTTCTAATGTTGATAAATGATAACCAACGTCGATATACAAGAATGAAGAAACACACACAACACATGTAAGGTTAGATGAGCAAATTGAAGAAAAAAGAGTGTGGGCACGAACAATGGTGGAGCTACATGTGATAAGAAGAAGAAGAAGAAAAAAATACAAGATGAGTAGTCTCTCCTCCAACATTTATAATCAATTGGTGAGAAACTTTTGAAGATATATGAATTGTATGGGTTTTACAATTCCAAGCAAAAAATGAAGAATTATCATCATGTTAGTTTTGCCAAGCACGGTTCAAAACGACGTGATTAGTCTCTAAACGATTGTATAACACTTCACCTAGACATTAAGCTCTATATTAGGCTCTAGCACACCTAGGAGTGCTTAAGCGAGTTGGGTGCAAAGTCAGGGCCGAACATCCACTTTGCCCCTAGCACATTCTTGAACATTGATTTTCAAACAAACCAAATATTAATATTTGGAATTGAACTATGCATAATCGGAGATTTTGAACCGAATTTAGCATTCAAATCTACAATTGGGTCACTTGGATCGAGAGATCCGATGAGCTAATTAAAAAGCACTGTGGAAAATTGAACCCAAATTCCACGAATATTGTATTAAGATTACAAATTATGGAAATTGAAAAAGACAAGGATGATATAGATTTTACAATTTCAAAAGAGTTGTCATATATACCTATGAATTCCATTGGACCCAAAAATGATACATTGAATTCCATTGGATCAATATAGGCATAGACAAAGCAAACGTGAATTTTGAACCAAAAAGATTTGAACCGAATTTAGCATCGAAATCCCTCAGTGCAAACGACCACGGACAATCCCAGCCACAAAGCCCACAACAATCAAAACGTAACAGCAAAAAAAGAGAAAAACATATCCATAGTTGGGGGGGAATCAATCTATCTGTCTTTTGGCCAGATGATTCTCTTCTTTTCATTCAGATGCCAAACATATTATTATGGGTATCTCTCCTTTCCTTCCTTTCTTTCTAGTTTCTACAATAGCCACTCATGAACGTGGGGTGGACAGGAAGAGCAGAGATTACAATCAATTATACAATTACATAAAATTAAATAAATACACCGAGAAAACCGCCTTTTTTTGCGATTTCCCCCATCTCCATCCTCGTTGTCAAATAATCAGGAATCAATAAATAAAAAAAGAAACGAAATAAAATAAAAATCAATTAATTAAATCCAAGTAAATTGTTCCTTCCTCCACTCTGGAGTTAGCTGTTGTTACCTTCAAACTTCAAACGTTAGTGGGGATGCAGCTTCCGAATATGCTCCAGCAACGACCCCGCCTTCCTCTTCGCCCTCTCCGTCCCGCTCTTCGCCAGCTCAGTCAACGGAATCACAGCTCCCAGCCGGCTCAGGCAACCCAGATTCTCCGCATCCCTCTTGCACAGCGACAGCAGGATCGACGCCGCATTCTCCTTCCCTCTCCCCTGCCCGGTCCTCAACAGATCGATCAGCACGGGGATCGTGCTCGCCTTCACGATCGCCGCCTTCGCCTCGACGTTGCTCGACAGAACCGACAGGATCGTCAGCGCCTCGTCCACCATCGCGCCTCCGCCTCCTCCTCCTCGCGAGTGATCCCTCAGCATTCGTAGCAGCGCGGGGACGATCCCTGCGCGAACCGCCCTCCCTTTGTTCCCCTGGTAGATGCACAGGTTGAACAATGCAGATGCAGCATCTTTCCTCCCCCTGCTGCTGCTCCCGTGCTCCAGGAGCTCGACTAAAGCTGGAATCGCGCCCGATGCTCCGATTATGATCTTGTTCTCGTCGCCGAGGGATAGACTGAATACCGTTGCTGCAGCGTTTTCTTTGGCTTCTACGCTGCCGGCTCGAAGGACCTGGACTATGGAAGGGATTGCTCCCGCCAGCATGATCAGACCCTTGTTGTTCTCGTAGATTGAGAGGTTCAAGATCGAGGTGACTGCATTCTCCTGGATGACGACGTCCTCGGCGGTTAAGAGCCCGACGAGGACAGGGATGGCACCTGCTTCCGCGATTAGGATTCTGTTGTCCGTGCTCCGCTTGGATAGGGTTCGGATCTCGTGGACTGCTGCTCGACGCTCGTCGAGGGACCGGCTCGACAGCTTGCGCACCAGTGCTTGAACTGCGGCGATATCCCCACTCACGTCGCAGCCGCGGATGCCCTTCTTGATTCTCCCGTTTGTGAACCCCGTCGGCTGCTCGATGTTGTGCTTCGTGCACCACTGCGCTATCAGGCTTCGTAGGACGTAGTTGGGCGTCAGCGTCGAGTGCTCGAGCTTCTGCTGGGTTTTGGGGCAGGTCATGTTGCCTGCGTCGACCCATCTCTGGATGAAGGACCTCTCGTACGTCTGAAATGAAATTATGATGAAAAACCCATCAACAGAAATCCCAATGAAATGAAATGAATCTGACTACTCTATCAAATGTCAATCACTGTCGGTTCTAATTCATACCTGGCCTGTGGCAACGATGACTGGATCTCTCATTAGCTCCAAGGAGATGGGACAGAGGAAATCGTCAGGGATGGTGGGAGCATCGGCCTTCTTCAAGTCCTCGAGACTCTTTATACCTGAGCTATTAGCCTTCTTCTTCTCTCCCTCCTCCCCTGCAGCAGCTTCTTCAGTCAGCTCTCCTGCCTGAACCTGGTCGGCATCGTTGCTTTCCACTGCCACCGTCGCTGCGGCGGAATCACGATTGACACTCCCAACATTCTCAATCTTCCAGCTCCGATTCAATCTGCTACCGTTGCTGCTGGCCCTTTGTGCAGGATCAATCTCTCTGCCTAGAGGTTGTTGGGCTGATGGTGCGGCGGCGGGAGAGATCGTCTCCGCATTCACGAACCTGTATCTCTCGGAGGCTCTCTGCAGCTGTGATCTCACCAATGCAACCTAGAGCAGCGATAGATAGAGAGAAACGTGTTATATATCAAATTGAGCTCCATTGAAGAAGCAAGAAGGAACGAAAAAAGCAGTCTGGAAAGCAAGCACACACCTGTTCTTGTACTTCCTCTGAGATATTGAAGCGATCGAAAGGGATATCAGCCAAAGCCTTCTCGAGCTTGCACGTTACGGATTGGAACTGAAGAGCGATTTTGCGGTGAGCTCCATCCTTGAATCAACAGTAGCAACAAAAAAAAAAACTTCAGGCTCGAAACAATTCAATTAGCCTCCACCCCCAAAATGCTCTAAGACTGGATCCACATTTTCAGGCGATTGAAACAAAAAGAGGAAGACAAATTGGAGGAATCTAGTGCAACTTACAGAGCGGTTAGAGGATTTGGAGCCGCCGGAAACCAGCAACAACCGCTTAGCCGACTGAAGAGCAGCGAGCAGCGCGGAGCACCAACTGGCCGACGAAGAGGAAGCGGCGGCGTCGCAATCCAACGGTCCAGATTCGCCGACGAAATCCGCAATCTCCTCGAGGAAGTGCGCGAGCAGTGAGATCCTCCGCACCAGATCCGTGGAATCCTTCCTGAACGTCGACGACGGAGCAGCGGCGGCGGCGGTGGAAGCGCTCCCGCTTCCTCCGGCGAGAGTGATGTCTCGGACGAGCTGGAGGAGGAGCCCCGCGGTTGGAGTGGCGTGGTCGGGGAGTAGGGCGGCTCCGGCTCCGCCTCCGCCGCCGGGCATTTCGGGGGGGGGAGAGAGAGCGCGGGGGGTTGAAACGCCGGCGGAAGGGATCGGAAGGCGGAGGAATCGGATATAGCTGGATGTGGTTCAGACAGCGAAAATGGAGTTGTGTGGATGAAAGCGGAATGGGGATTGAAGGATTAAGGCAGAGAATGCGGTGGTGGTAATTAAAGGGAGGGAAAAGGATTTTAATTTTATATTTGAGGGGAAGGGGGCACAGCCTTGTTGAAGGGGATTTTCTTTTTTTATTTTAATAAATTTGTATTGGTTCTCTCGTCTTGTGTCTGATTGTAATTAATTTCATTAAGTAGGGATTATAATAATGATTTAATTTTTTAATTGTGGGGGCTTCGTTGAAATGGTGGTGACATGTACAATGTCTTTGGGTGGTGCGTAAAGGAAATGCCGATGCGTTGGACTTTTTCTCTTTGTGGAGAGTTGGGGTTTCCTTTCTTTTGATGAAATTACAGCTATTAACGAAATTATTGGTGTGTTCTTGAAATAATAATAATAATAGTCCAATGTCACATTGTTAGTTAGTTACAAAGAAAAAGTGACGCAAAAAGTTTAGAGAAGGCTCGTACTTGTTTGATTAAAACAATATAAACATACACCTAACCAGAGAAGGGAGTAATTGGGGATGACAACGGGTCCGAATAGTGCAATTCATTATTCTAGTAAAAAAAAATAATTAAGATTTTACTCGTACACATATAAGAATCGGGTTAAATATAAAAATCATACTCATATCCAATCGGATTTCGGATATCTATGGTTAACCATGGAAAAATAATTTCTCGTTATAAGTTCAACCAACATGATAACAATTTCATATATGCCGACTCTAGGTGAAAATTTCAGACTCAATTTCATGGAAATATTATATATGCATTATACTGTTTATACATCTCAAATGTTGAGAAAAATAATGATCATTTGCATGTGCATAATTGGGCGAGTTAGAATTGGATAGAGAGAAAATCATGTTCATTCATTACCCGTAATATTTGAATTCGAGATTTAACCATACCAATTAAAAAAAACTGGTTCAAATTTTATCAATCCAATTAGGTCGGATTCGAGCGACTAATTATTTACTTACTTTATCCCTAGACATAATGAGACCAATCCCACCCATTAAGTTCAATGAGTTGAACATAGCTCGGTTCATTCAATTTTTGGAGCTGAGTTTACTTAAACAGGAGAGAATGAATATTGGGGTTTGCTGGGGTTCCTTGGCAAGTGCGTCTCTTTGGAATTTTTTTCTTTTTTTGCTTTCTAGTATTCCTTACTTGGATATATTATGTTTGAATATAGAAGAAAAAAACAATTTCAGAGAAGAATGTACATAAATGTTTTAGTTATAGTAGAAATTTATATTTGTTTTTCCCTTTGTGGATCTCTAATCGTGCTATTATGTCGATACAAACATGTATAATTCATTATGTCATTTTGTTGGATCTCTCATATACATTTCCGATCATTAAATCAAAAGTTCTAAGGAGTATTCTAAAATTTTCATATATCGATCCAACAATCAAGACACATACAAGAAAAACACCCCATAACAGCAACATGAGCACTAGCATAATATCCAAATTTTGTGACTCTCGATTTTGTTGAAGTAACAATTTTAGTGGTACTTATTTTTCTAGCATTGTTCCTTATAACTGGTTTAATAGGAGCTTATTTTAGGAACTCAGCCAAAACAAATAGGCACATGATGATATGACCATTTCTTTTATTATAGGACATAATTATTAGGAGCTGGATACGGAGTTTATTTAATTAATGACAAACATCATTGAGCTATGATTCATGACCAAAAAAAGTTCACTAGTTACTAGCATTAGAAGGAATTGATCAGTCACATATGAGGAAGTACTGAGCAGTGAGCACTAGTCATGTTATGAAAAATTGAATCGGATAAGTGGTTGAACCTGTAAAACCGGAAAATCAATTACAATTACGATCCGGATCATTTACTTGGACCGCTAGCTAGGAATTGAATCAAATGCGTTTTTTAACTATAGAACATGAAACCAGACGAACCATCCATCCTAGTTTGGTCAGTCCACCAATTCACTATTTTAACGGAACACACAAAAACTAAGAAAACAATACTTTAACATAAACTAAAATCATCTCACCTAAATTACTAATTTTATTTATGCTTCCTCTTCCTTTCTTTTTTCAGCCTTCTTGTCGGATCTAACCGTCTTTTTCATAATTTCGAAACCGTCCCAGTGATTTATTAGTACTCTTGGAGATGAATATACGTCTTTCATGTTATAAACGCATTCATGATTCATTCTTGTGAATGTATATACGTCTTTCATGTTATAAACGCATGAACGAGTCTATTAACGGTTAACCGGTAATTCCAATAATGACTGATCACTAAATCATAAATCATCAATTTTACCGGTTCGACTTCTGATTTAAGAAGGAGAGAGAAAGCGAGATTCGCGGGACGGAGAAAGAAGAACGAGTGGGGATTCGCCGGTGAGGTGGAAGCCAGTTGTATTCTGGTAGTGGTGGAAATTAATGGAACGGAAAGCACTGTTAGTTTTTTTTCTTTTTTTTCCCTCCATTTGTTTTCCTTCCAGAACAGCATTCTCCCTTCTCTTTGCCAAACTGTACTCTTTAAGGTTTTTAAAATGAATTATCTTATTTAATTAAAATTATTTAAATAAACAGATCATGATCTCATTTGCTTCTGATCTTGGTGGCGTTGAATGGTAACGGCAAAATTGTGGGATGATTCGGAAATTCACGTCAACTCCTTTTGCCTTTTTTTTTTTTTTTTTTTGTGGCAATGAAATGTGAGAGTTTAGTTTTGGTCTTTTGCTTACTGTTTGGTAGCAGCTAGTTTAATTATTATCACCATGACTCCTTTCTCAGAATTTTTTCTTTCCCAAAGATAGACTAGAATTCAAGAAGAGCCGAGGTTGTTGTTGTAATATTGACGTGTGCTCAAAATGGTTTCCACCAACATGTCTTCATTTTTGGACCATCCTCTTCTCTCTGCAGTTCAGTTCCATGTGTACAAACTGGTAACAACATTTGGGGTGGTAGTTTTTGATACGACATGCGGTCTATATGCCGAGAGAAATAGTAGATGTAACGCATCTTAATCTTAACAAATATTGAAGTATTTTGATTTTACGAGTTATGTCACGCACTCTTCAACCAGCCTCTCACGTGGCCACATCATCCATGGTTCATCGCCCAGTTTCTAATTATTAACATACTAAGCAGAGTCAAAAATAGACAGAGCAATAGGAAATGGCGGTGGAGCAGTAGGGGAAATAGGAAAAATGAAACGTAAGGGAATATTATATGATAGGATCTGCTGTGCTTTTCTATTATTATTATTGAAATATAGTTCTTTTTTATTCAAAGCATTTGTACAGTAAAATAATAAAAATTAATGATGAAGGATTGTGTACAGAGGATAATTTGGTGTTAGAAACGAATGCTATAGAATTTTGTAGAACAAGTAAAAAGTGTCTGTATGATTTTAATTAAGTCATGCATTTAGGAACGACAATGGGTAGGCCGGGCGGGTAATTTGATATACATATCAATTTTGTAACAGGTCGGGTTTAGATTAGGTATTTTGTTTGGGGGCATGATCGGGTCAGGTCGACACATATGGATATGCAATAGTCGACACATATGAATATGCCATATAAAGAGAAAAAAAAAGTACTTCAAACAATTGATTTTTTTCCATTAATAAGTCTACAAATAAACTATGACATTATAAATTCAGTTAAATTACTCAAAATTTGAGTTTTGTACAACTTCATTATAACTAAAACATTATGTACTATAATTGAAACATTATGTAGTAAAAGTAAAATCCTAAATAGTTTGATAAGATTACATAAAATTTATACAAAACGAGATGACAATGGAGAGAGTGAAGTCGAATAGAACCCACCCGGCTAGGAGACGAATATTACCCGCTTAAAAACAAGTCGAACAAATCGAATATAACATTATCAAGTCAAAATTGTGTATCTCTAGATGCATTTACAACTACTACCATTTGGTCATATAGTACAAAAGTTTAAACTATGAGAGTAATATTATGTTGACTCAATATATTATTATGTTTTTAAATGAAAAGTGAAAAATGAAAACTTGCATCTTTGAATTTCTTCTTTCTTTTTACCCCTTCTGTTTAGCTCTTTTGGAACAGCAGGGTGTGGTCTGATCCACCTAGCTGTGTCCCCTTTCACCTTTTCTTCTAAATTTCCTTTGCCCACACTTTGAGAGCTCAATTGTTGTGAAACCTTTGTGATGTTCTATTGTTGTTTGTGTAATCTACTTTTCTTGTCTGGTAATAAAATTGGGAGTCACCCTTGTGAAAAAAGAAGTGACTACTACTACATTAGTACAATCTGTTTTGCAATTGCATATTGAGTTTTCGTGTAAAATTTGCATTTGATCAAATATCCGTGATGTGGATGTTGCTTAGGGGTCGTTTGCTTCAAGGATTTGGTACATGGATTTGGTACAAAAAAACGAACTATCAAGGATTTAGGTACAATCCGTTGTTTGCTTGTACCTTTTTTGGAGACCAAATCCGTGGGGCCCACGGATTTTAAGTGTCAAAATCCGTGGACCCCACGGACTTATAAATCCCACATATTGATGTGGGATTTGGAATATAGCATAAATCCTTGATGAGATTTTACCCATATACCCTCATGCACTTTTAATATTCCAAGGTTGCCCTCAAATTTAACTATTATACATTATAATTAACAATAAATGAATAATATAAACGTTCAATTAATGTGCAAACATGAGTTAGATTTTTTATATCATTTCTTGTGTTCTAGTTTTCTTTGACCTTTTCATGGAACGTGTAATTCTTTGTTCTCCCGATTTTAATATATGTTGTTATATGTTACTTTTGAAAAGGATGACAAAGAATTGGTAATTGATTATGTTACGTTTAAAGTTAAAACGGAATTTTCTCGTTTATTATTATTGTCCATGTGGCAACATTATGCTTATTAGTATATATTGTCCTTGTTTTGTGTACATATCATAAACATGTCAAACATATAGAAAATGATAGTAAGATAATTTTGAAGTTTTGTCCTTGTTTTGTGTACATATCATAAATATGTCAAACATATAGAAAAGGGCAGTAATGTAATTTTTGACTTTAAGTAGTAAATCCCACACCTTTAAATCCATGATAAAAACATCCCAACAAACAAAGGATTGTTACAAATCCATGATGCCTCAAGTCCTTGATAAATCCTTGGGTTTTTAAATTACAAAAACCTCATTTTTAAATCCATGAAGCAAACGACCTCTTAGTCTCCCTACAAAACAACCTATTACAAAGCTTATCAACAACTACCCAAATTGAATCTAGTTTGCAAGAATAAAAAAAGTATTTTTGGCCTAGTTGGACTCTATGAAAATGCCATCGTCATCTGCCACCGGCCGGCCACCGCTAGCTGCTATTGTTCTGAACAAAGAAAGAATTGCGGTTCTTATCTACTCTTCTTGCCCAACTCCTCTCCTCCTACGTACGTACACTCCTCTCTCTTTGCTCTTTTTGGGTGGTTTTTGAAACCCAGAAAACATAGACGAGAAGATGGATCGTAACGGAAATTGCATGTTGCATATATAGTTGGAAAAGAAACAGCAAACTCTTCTCTCTACTCTCGAAACTCAACTTCTTTGCGTCCGAGACGACGACAGACAACAATCATCAGTTCCCAACCACAAAACAGCTTAGTCTGCGAAAAAAAAAAGCAATCAACAAGATCCCAAATAAATTAAAAGTCTATCGCATTTGTCGTCATTATTGCGTAAGTGGTGTGCAGTGAAGTAATTTTAGAGTAAATGAAGATAAAATGAAGGAATAATAAATAAATAAGTTTTTGTTTTTTGTTTTAATGTAGCTTGCCTCTTGCATGTGGTCCGTTGACATCATTTTGGTGGTAGTATTTGATACGACATGCGTTTTGTATCACGAGCTGTTACACCAAAGGCAGACAATTAATTAAGGAACCAATTAGCAAGTAATTAACAAGTAAAATTGATACGAACCTTCTTGAGGGGGAGGTAATTAAGGACAATAGAGAGAGGCATGCTGAATATGGCAGATTATTCAGTTTTTTTTTTTGTTTTTTTGGGTAGAACTCACAGACACTAATTTACAGTTTACACTTCACTTCTACTTAAAAATTTTTGGCAAGTGGAAAGAATCAATGACGGACAACAGAATTCCAACGCGGAAACACACGTCAACGAACTGAATTCTTCTAACAGAAAATGAAGGAAAACCAATTCTCACGAGACTAATTAATACCATTAAACAATAATAACAGTTAGATTATAAGTTGCAGTTTCTAAATGTTTATAAAAGTAGGAAATTTATAATTGAAGATCATTAATGAATTGTGATGGAGGCACAGATCCATCTGGGGTATTATTTATTATGTATTAGTGTGAATATTTAATTAGTAGGATCAAAGTGATAGCAGGGTCTCTTTAGGTCTCTAATTATTAGGATTAGGGTGTTTTTCTAATTTAAATATGTACTTTGCAACAGTAATTACTACATTATTTATTGCTTTAATTAGTATTAAGATATTTTTAATCCTTCAACTTCCAGTGTCCTCTCTAGCTAGACTAGCCGCAGACGGTCATCACTTCTTGGTTCTTTCTTCCAAATTCGTTTTTGCCAATTCTCTTCTTATTTATGTTCGTAATCACGTCTTATTATTATGATAATTTCGACAGCATGTGTTTGGTAATTGAGTGTGGGGCTTGACTAGAAGCTATAAAAAGTAAGCGGGTTAATGATTTGCTTTTCTGTTTAGATGATGATTAGATAAAATCTGAAAGACAATTTTCCCAAAGGACAAAAAGAAGTGGCCGGTTGGTACAAATTGTACAACACAAAAAAAATTGACACAAGCCCACGTTAATTTCTTGAACTTAAATTATTTGTTATGTGGTATTTGTACGAAAATTTCACGTTTGAATGAATTATAAGCAGTTGTATTGTTGATATGTTGTTAACACTCAAAAATTTATTGTTATATTCATCGGCGCGCGCTTTTCTTAAACCGTCTCTTTCCTGCTTGGTCAACGCGTGTGTGCATGCGCTTTGTTAACATGCATATGTTATGGTGTTAATATGTAGGGATTTTACATATGGTTTTAATATAACAGTGTGCTCATAAGAGATTCATCGTAAGTTATAAAATATTAAAATGTGTTGTTAAACATGTTAGATGGGAACAAAAGTTTTGAACACATTTTATTACACAATGTGCATTATGGAGCTAGGTATATATTAAATGGATTCTTGGTAACTATTAGGGATGGCAATTTCGACCTGACTCGTTTTACCCGACCTGTTTTGACCTGTTTTGGATTGAATTTGAGTTTTGGATTGAGAATTATGAGAAAAAATACTTAAAAAAACGAATATTTCAAATAATTTTATCGCTCTAAATTACACACCAATATCCATATGAGTCGATCTGATCTGATCCGACATGCGCCCATGATAAATTAGAAAATTATCTGATATGATATAAAACTAATATAAGTAGCAAAATATATGTTCGTCCTTATCTACCCATTTGTCATTTCTACTGATCTCAAGTCTCATCAACTCCCTTAATATATATCATTCATTTGTCGATCTATATTAACCTTTTGAATCTAGATGCTTGAGTTGTGTGGGTAGATAACCAATCTAGCATTGGGGAACTTTGTGAAAAGTTGGAATTCAAGATTTCTTCACGAAACTCAAGAGGTCGAGTTTAAGACGGAGAATCAGCGTCGCTTGTTCCCCCCCTGAAGTATCCCGCCGTTTCCTCTACTCCATCCGCCAAATTCTGCAACTGTAGTCTGTAGTCGTCTCGTCTCTTTCCTGCCCCAGCCCAACCTATCGTTCATTTTTTCCTGTAAACTACACTGGCAACAAAGTGAATTTTGCTTCCTGCCACGGTGCCACCGCAGCCGCCTGTCCCGCCGCCCATCGCATCTCTCGCCGCCTTGCCGGTCTCTCTTTTGGTTGTCATTCCGTAAGAGTTTTTGATTGCCATGTCTTTGGTTTGCTTTGATTAATTGGATTTCTCTGTTGTCAATTGGATTATTTTGTGTTTTGCTGAAAGGGATTTGGATTATTTGTTGACTTGATTGGTTTCTTTGTTATCAATTATTTCTTTCTTTCGTGCAGATTTGTGCTCCATTGATTCTACACACTGTCCTCCTTCAACGGCCGACTCCCACTTCCTCGCCTAGACATTGATCGGTAAATGGTCCAATAACCACCCTTCTCTTGGTAGGAGTGAAAAAAACCAACAGTAAAAAAAATCCCCTGCACTCTCCAATCCGCAAATCATGCCAAATTTTGTATCAGCCTTGGAACAATGATATGATGTTCATTTTGTGCATGCTTTGTGTTAAATAAATTCGAGTTAGAAGCATCTGCATGTTAATAGATTCATCATAACTTTCGTCTACAATTGTTGTTTTTCTCACAAACCGTTGTCCTATATTATTGGGCAGCTCCAGTGAATTACTCTAATTTAAGTTATGACTCCAACTCAAGCATCTTCTTCTTTGGCTCTTAGCCATTATTGGCAACTCTAAACCGTCATATATCAGGTTCCGTTCCACCAATTATATCGACATTCCATACAAATAACCTTGATTATAACTGTAAAGTTCAATATGATAGTGACTATATAATAGGATGTCATAAATCCATCGCAAATGGATTGTATAACACGAGTAGAACTTATGCATGTTTTTAAGTTATTTCAAAAAAATGGAAGGTGTGGGTTATTGCCCTAATGTTGATAGACATGGCACAACCATTGTTGGCCCTTTGCAAGGATGACTTGATTTGTAGAGTTGTAGATATATTTTGAATTTTCAGAGTTGACGAAATAGGAAATATCGTCAAATGCTTTCACCCATAATTGCTTGATTTGTGGCTTTCATATCTCGCGTTTAAGGGCTGAAACTTTAATAATGTTGGAAAAATTGGTAGAATGTAATATGCTACCTAATTTATTAACCTTTAATCCATTTATTAGTTTAACAATAATTGAATTAATTAAGAGGTTAAAGCTAGATTTCAAAGTACAGTGCGATTAGATACCAAAATTTAGTTTTTATTTTCTTACAAAATAATGTCTTATACCATTATAAACTGTCATAAATTGGAGGATAAACTTATACTTCTACATACTCTTCCTAAAATAACAATTCAAAGTAAAAAAGCAACAATAGGGCTAACTGCCCAACGGGCAGGGTCGAAGCTAGTATATATAGTATAGTCTTTAATATAAGCGGGTTGAGAAAAAAAAGGCCTGCCACGTCGGTCACGAAGGCTTCTCCGTGATTTTTCGGCGTTTTGTAGTTTATTTATTTCATAATTTCTTCTGCGCTGAAACGGGCTCGGTGCCGTGAGCCCGTGACAAGGTGAGCGGACAGGCAGTTAATCTCTGCTACGTAAAATTGGAATGCTTTCGTTGGATTATATACATATTAATGAATAATTCCAAAAAGGGGATTTAAAATGTGCATCTCTAATTTTTTTTTTAACTTTTAAGCCTTTTCTGTAGCTAGAATTTTTTTGTCTATGTGTTACTGTGTTTTGTTACAAGAAATTTAGATATATTAATGATATATATAATACCTCATTGGATATATTACTCATACATTACATGGTACAAAACCAAGAAAAGGAAGGGTTCATGCTGGTTATTCTATATATAGGCATTAAAGAAACAGGCAATATCTAAATCTAACACGTAAGGCCCAAAAACTTGTACAAGAAAATTTATAAATAAAATGAATATACAAAACCTAAAGGAGCAGAACCAGTGGATCAGCTGGGCCGAGTTAACATATGGGCTGGCAATTTCTGAACTAATTAGTCGGTGAAAAAGGCCTCGTCAGGCCCAGATAAAGGAACAAAAGAAGGAAGTGAAGAAGTGGGCTAGGAATAAGGGTATTAGAAGGAATAGAGCCTTCACTACTAGCTACTAAGACTATTAAATTTCATAAATATAATATTTTCTAGTTCTCCACTAATAATCTTGACCAGTTTGGATTTTTGACATGCAGACTAGAATATTTCCATTTACAGGTAAGCATCTATACTTTAGTTTGTATTCTGTCCTTTGAAGTTCCTCTTGACATACACTCACTGCCTTTACTACAAACAGATACAAATAAATCAAAATCAGTAGGCAACCACTACCAAAAAAAAAAGAAAAAAAGACCGAAGAAACTATTATTGTACAGTGACTGACTTCAGAACTTAAACATGAATGAACAGACTCCTTGTTCTACATTAGTATTCCAGGTTAAAAAATTTATAAGAAAATTTATAAATAAAATGTATATACAAAACCCAACGGAGCAGAACCTATGGATCACGACTGGGCCGACTTGACACATGGGCTGACAGTTTCTGAGTTAATTAGTGGACGGAAAAGGCCTTATCTTTTTATTTTTATTTTTTATGGTTAAATCATTTTTTAAGAAAAAGGGTTATTTAGGGTGCTACATATATATTTATGTTTCTTTTACATACAGTAAATATGAATTCATTAAGTTATTAATTACACTTCACTATATGCAGAATTGCAGATGGACGGAGGATCAGCCCTAGTACTTTTTGTGGCTGCCATTGGTAATGAGTGTAAATTTAGTTTGCAAATTTCTTTTATTATAAGAGTTTTTCTTTGCCGAATTTTATTATACGAGTTAAAATATATTTAGTTTGCGACATTTGTGATGCTTCTAATATTATATGAGTTTTTCTTTTCGAATGAAATTGATTATGAGTTATTAGACATTTAGTTTAATCCTTTTTTTTTTTTTTATCTTTGAACCTCCTAACACCTTAGGTACCCTTGTGGGAGTGGCTCACTCACTCTTTCCTTTGTAAGTTTTAAACTATTTATTGTGAGATTTATTTTCGATTTGTTTTTTTATACGAGCAGTAAGTATTTTTTTGGGTCAATTTTCAGAGCTGACGTACGGAGGATGTCGAGTAGTAACTCCATCCTGTCCGTTTCTTCTTCCTCACCCCAACGAGTTATAAATTTTCTGGTACACCTCCTTTTTTTCTGGTAAGTTATTCATTTATTATTACTATATTTTTTATTTAATATATTTTGTTCCAAAATAATTAGACAATGATAGATAGAGGTGGCATTTAGTATCTATTAAATTCAATTCAACTCATTCATTAGAATATTCATTCAGCTAATTCAATTCATTTAAATGCAATCTATTTTATCCAAATCCAATTGGATTGGTGGATCCATATAACAAATCACAATTTAGTACATATACTTATTATATTTACATTTTGGTACGTATGTTTAGATACAAAATATCATCAAGACATTGTGTCTTGGTACGTGAAATTTTTCATTATAACACTTTTAGTACCTAAACTTTTCTAAATTTAAATAATGGTCCTAGACATGGATGACATGTTGATCCATGAATTGATCAATAATTCATCCAATCCATAAATCCAATCTATTTGTCGCCTCTAATTATAGGAGTGGGCGTTGGTTCGGTTAAACTAGATAGTAATAATTCTTTTAAGAAAATGTACTAATAACAGTTATTTACAGGCACTCGGTCCCGTTTATCGCAAGAACCGACGGGTTCCTGCTTGTGACAAATGGGGTTGCACTCCTGGTGGATACAGCGTATATATACATGTATATACGCTGTGCCAATCCAACCAGGAGAGCAATAATGGCAATCTGCTCTGGATTGTCTGTCTTGTTTTTTGCCGTTACGGTTGCCGTCTCCCTTCTGGGATTCCACGGCCACCACAGGGAGCCAGTTGTGATGCTTTGTCTCTTTGCATCACAAATGGCCGCCTGTGTGTGGCCGATCTACAGCGGGGTAAGTTGGATTCTTTTCTCCCTCTCCGTCTTATACCATTTTGACTTAATATGAAAAAAACTAGTAATTTATAACAAGAAAAAACACTAATGCTTAATTCATTTGATAAATATAGTACGTCGTCGTCACCACACAGTCCGTCAACCATATCTCACTTGGTGAGATATCAAGTGGCGTGCTAGCCGAGCTGTTCTGGTTGTCGTACGGAATTTACCGGCGCAGCGTACTTTTCTCCGTAAGTTCGAATTTACTTTATCTTTTTGTACAATTTTTTAAAATCTACTTAGTTGTCAAATTTACTTTTCACCATGCTAAAGAAGATATACTGGGAAAAAAAATGAATTTGATGCAGGTTCCGCACGGCGTAATGCTAATTCTACTAATGCTCGAGGTGCTCGTCTACGACGCCATCGGAAATGACGGCAACAACAACCCGGCGCCACAGGTAACGAATTACCGATTTTGAGTAGTCCACAATTAATTGTGTATATATATATATTTTTAATAACATTGTGTTTTATGTTTTTTTTTTTCCAGGCTTTCCGCGAGATGATCGTTAGGGTTACGCCAGTGAACGAAGATGTTTAGACGAAAAGTGAAAAGGATCGTGGAAATTAGTTTCTTTACTTATTAAAAGTTTTTTTTTCTGTTAAATAATAACTCATTAATCTTTGTTTCCGAACTAGTACCGGGCCCGACCCGTTGGACTGTTGGATTTCATGTACCGTAGTTTCTCATGAAACATTTAGGCAAGTGGTTGGCCTATGGTATGAATTTGGCCCAAAACCTTACAGTCTCACACCCTTTGTGAGCCCAGCCCATAAACATTCATGTCAACAACTCAACCATTATAATAATTAATAAGTGAAAAGCAATAGTTATGTAAGTTGTTATAAGATGTAAATCTATGCCAAATATGCATTGAACATGTCAGTGCTAGTACTGACCCAACCAGTCTTAGAAGCACATTTTTAGCCCTTCAGGAGCCAACACCTGGTTCAAGTTCTGCAGCTGGTTGCGTATGATTAAACCTACCAACCAAATCTGTATTAGGAATCAACCATTGATATGAAATCCAATTTCACACTTGGCTAATACTATTCTCAACGGGATGTAAAAATATGACTATGATTCTGTGTTCTTGTGTTGATAAGTGTAAATGACTTCATAATAACTCTTTCATGAAAGCATGAATGTAAATCCGCAATTAGATAATACTAGAAAATTGGGCCGTGCTTTGGCGGCGGATGTGTCTGTGATGCTGAACATGAACATATGTTCGAACCTAATTCATAGAAGTTGCGATTCGGGCTGCAAAGTCAGAGAATAGATGGAATAGTTTCTTAAGAGTTGTGCAGCTGTTAAATCTCCAAAATGAAGTGTTTGTGGCATAATTAAGAGGGTACAAAATATATATAGAGAAGTTCATAAGAGTTGAGCTTAACTATTGTCCATAAAGAAAAAGGAGATCAAAAATCGATATTTGCCTCTTGTAAATTTATCAACACGTCTTCAATGTTAAAGAGTACATAAAAATGTGTGATCGATGATCTTCAACTCATTAAGATAAAATGATATTATTATTCTTAGTATGCTTATAAATTGAGGAAAAACAACCAAAATGAATACCAGCCCAAAGTAGACTACTACATATTCACCACTTGCAAGACACTCTTGTGCTCCAAAGTTGGGTCTTGCTTCTTTCTCTGCAAATTTTCATGTTCTCAAACCTGTATTCATTTGGTGAAGTCTTTCCCCTAGACTCGGAGGAAAATGTCTAGAAATGAGTCTTCTGCGAAGTATCAAATCCATATGCAAAAGTTGGTCAGTTGTAGTGAAATTAATATGCAAAAGTTGAAGGATCAAGTTCATAACTGAAACACAAAGATATCTTATTGTGACTTGACATGGGAGGCAACACCAGTAGAGCAATCTAGCAAACATCCATCAGCCTTAGATAACTTCTTAACTGAATCAGTAGGCCACTGAGATGGCTTGGAAGCCAGCAAACCAGCATCAGAAATAATATCTAATGGATATTTCCTTTGGCAAAGAGATATTCCTTTGGATGTTCTAGCTACCTCAAGGCCTAAGAAGTACTTGTGAGAGTACCTATATCCTTGATTTTAAAAGCATCATCAAGTGCCTTCTTAATCTCATTTATACCATTCACATCATTACCGGTTAGGACGATATCATCCACATAAACTAAGAGAGCAAAGTACTTATCATTAGACTTGCGAGTAAACAAAGAGTAATCTGATTTTGACTAGGAAAAACCAGAAGATAACATAAATTGAGTCAGTTTATGGTTTCATTGGCGACTCGCTTGCTTTAACCCATACAACGACTTAATAAGTTTACAAACTAAGTTCTTTGGTTTTCCAGGAACATGTAAGCCTCGAGGGAGTTTCATGTAAACTTCCTCAGTTAGATTGCCATGCAAACAGGCATTGTTTACATCCAATGATGTATTGGCCAATGTCTAACAGCAGCTATAGCTAATAAAACACGAACAGTGGTCAATTTTGCCACGGGAGAGAATGTTTCCAAGTAATCAATACCAGCAGTCTGGGTATAACCCTTAGCCACAAGACAAGCCTTGTATCTTTCAACCGACCCATTGAGTTTGTATTTAACTCAAAAGACCCATTTATAACCAATTGGCTGTTTACCCTCAGGAAGAGTAGTAACAGTCCAAGTATTGGTAAGTGCAAGTGCCTCAAGTTCTTTAGTTTATTCGTGTTTTCAACCCATAAAGGGTCTTGTGAAGCTTCTATGAAACTTATAGGTACTCGAATAGAATTGACAGCAAGAGTAAATTTCTTTTGCGGAGAAGATAAATTGGTAGTAGCCACCACTACAAAAAAAAGGGTCTATGGCAAGGGTTATTTTCCTTCGTAGCAAGGGTTTTAACCCCTGCTACAGGATTTAGCAAGGGTTTAACCAACCCTTGGACGGACCCTTGGCAAAGCCGCCCCTGCTACGTGTAGCAAGGGTTATGGGCGACCCTTGGTGCAAGTCCCCTGCAGCGGTTGTAGCAAGGGTTTAAACCCTTGCTACACGTATGTGAAAATTCAAGCATGTGTTGCTTGTACCAGCGGTTATAACCCTTGCATAATTCGTTGCTACATCTAGCAAGGGTTTCGAAACCCTTGCTACAGGCCTTTGTAACTTTATGTAAAATTGCTGAAGATACACTACTTGCAAGGGTTAAAACCCTTGCACAGTTTGTGACTAAAGCTAAAAAAACATTTGTGTCGAAATCAAAATGGTCACTAAAAGTCGTCACTAAAGAGAGGCAACAAGATTCGTGGCAAAAGCTTGGTTGCAAACCCTGGTCATTAAAACAAATCCAGAACCAAGTTTGTTACTAAAACTCATACCATATACCCATTAATCATAACATAATATGATTCATAATCCAAAAGGTGTTCTTTACATGACTAAATACTAATCACCATGAACATTCAAACACACTCAAAAGAACCCAAAATGGTGTTCTTTACATGACCAAATTCATACCATATACCCATGAATCATAACATAATATGATTCATAATCCAAAATAGTGTTCTTTACCATCGACCATTTCCAAAATGCTTCATACGACATTTGATCATGAAGCTCGAGATCCCATTGATGGTGTAGGAGCATTAGTGCAACCCCATCTGCGGCTCTGTCAACTTTGAACCAATCAACTGCTATTAGCTGGAGAAGTGGATCTCCACCCACCACCTGAATTATTATTACAACCAAAATCAATGCATAAAACAAGAAAATTCACTTTAAAAGCACTTGAAAATTCAGTTCTGAATTAACAACGAATTCTTATGTCATTGGAAGGAAAATGAAAATTTATCGACGCTATTTTCCCCCAATACACACAAGAATGATCATGTTTAACCACTTATGAAGTGTTTCCATGTGCTAGGAGAGGAATATCTCAAGCATCATCATCTAACACTCAGTAGGCACAAGTATGTTGATTATATTAAAAAAAAAAAAGTTTGCACAGAGCCACAACAAGGGAGACCAAAATGATTTCATTCAGTTAAGTGGAGTTTGCCATTAACTGGAATAACACAGGAACATACAGGATCAAGATCGTGCGTTGACCAAAAACGGAAAGATGTCGTCTTCTTAATCAAATAACATAATAGAAACAGAACCTGAAGCCATTAACCAAAGCATTAACAAATTTTAAAAACAAGATTTGGCAGCCGAGACTATCACCACCCAATCCTATGACCATTGACAGAGATTTGTAGGTTGAAAAAACAGAGTAGAAAAAAAAACAGGGCAGAGAGACATGGGAGGGGATTTACCGAGGAAAGAAGGAGAAGAACGATTCAAGGGGCTGAGAAGCGCCACCTCGATGGGTCTGAAGCAGGACAGTACCCAAACTTCTCGGCCGTGGCCGCTAGCACACGCCGCCATGGTGTTTCTGAAAGTCAGTAGCCTGACAGTATAAAAACAATTCTCAGGATAAATTTTTTGCCATAATCAAACACTGCTACTTGTATTGATTCTCTACCAAAACCTTAATTTTTTTGTCCCAACTTGGCAGTGAAAGATTGTATTCCGAAGTCCCTGTCTCTATCTAGGTCAGGTATGTCCTGCAATGTAACAAAATGAAAAGTATTGCACCAGAGTCAACTTACATATAACTAGCGACAAAGCAAACCCAGTTGGGAAGTTCAAGATGCAACTGGCTACCAGAAATGCATGCCTCTTCCATCTCATAAGCGGGAGCTATATGTAACACCAAACTTTAATGATTAAGCTTTCAACTAAACCTTGTTCATATAATAATGATGCAAAGGGTTAATGCAAAAGTAAGCTTACTTCAATAGAGTATGCACTCCCAAACAGAAAGCTAATGAGCAAGGCAGGCAGAAGAAGAGGGGACTGAAATTGAACCCCATGTAAAGGCTCTGCATCCCAATTTTTCATCAACACATGTTAACCAGTACGAATCGTCAAATGAAATGGAATTAGCAGACACTGTGATTCAAGATATTGAACAACATGAACGAACTGCACTCTAATTATATAGAAAAAAGGACTCTGGTTATGTCTATGATTGATGGTCGTTCACATATAAAGTCACAGACTTTATATCTTTATATATCAACTGTGGAGCAGTTCGAGAAACAAAAGAAAGTCATACTTATCCAATCATCTTTCAACTTTCTTCCTCTCCTTATATATTTGTATTTATAAGTTGGCAAACTGGACATTACTTCCTTCGACAGACCTTTGCTGACTTCGCCAATCGATTCTTGTAACTGACTAATTTCCTACACAAAAATGCCAGATGAGCTAATTTGCTAAACTATTCCATAATCACAATTTAACTATTCCGCGGTGTGATGCATTCCAGATTTTATTTGATACCATTGGAAACACAACATGCGGAAAAGCTTTACCTCGTACGTCATATTATCAATATCAACGTTGTCCTGAATTGCAGCCTGCAATTCAAATGGCTTGAATATAAGCTAGCACAATGCAAAGTAACTGTGATACTAAGCTCATCACTCATCCAAAAACAACTGGCGGACCAAGTGGTTGCAAGACTTGAGACAAATGATTTACCGAAGAAGAACTTGATCCATGGAGAGTTTTTTTTCTGGTCCTGTGGAATTACGAAGGAAGAGAATGTGTCATGAACAGGTAATGTAATCATGAGTAGAATTGAGAAAACAGAGTAATAAAGGAGACTCAGATATTATTACTTGTTGTTGTTCTATGAGGATTGCTCAATGACATTGTTCCTAATGAATTCTCCATCCCCTCCAACTGTAAAGCTAGAGCATCATCATTTGCTCCATCCCAAACCCCATATCTATTGACCTTTTGGTAATCATCCAAAACTAGTAAGAAAGCAATCCCCAGCCCATTCATTCTCACCTTTCCTTCCTACAAATATCTCTCTTTCTTCCCCCATTAGTTTCTCACTCACCCCACCCCGCAAAAGTAAACCATTCAACTGCATACGAAGCGGAAATTGAAGCAATGGCGCTATCAATTCCTGTCTCCTCCACCACCACCTCCACTCTCCTTCCTTCCTCTTCCTGCCACCGACATCTCTCCTCTGCTCAACACCGTCGCCGCATATCAATCACAATCACATCCCTCCTCTTCGTCATCGAAAACCTCACTACTGCAAGCAGCCGGCGGCGGCGGCCGCGCTACAAACCCTAAGAAACCTAATCGGAGCTCAATCGCGCAAGAGAGGGAGAGCGCCAGCGAGGGAAGTAGAAAGCTAGCGAAGAAGAGAGAGTGAGCGAGTAAAGAAAATCAGAGTATCACCTTTCAGCAGGAGTGGGCGAGGAAGGTTGGGGAATCGCCTCTTTCAGCCGGAGTGGGCGAGGAAGGTCGGGGAATCGCCTCTTCAGCCGGAGTGACCGATGAAGACTGGAGGAGCCGCCTCTTCAGCTGGAGTGTGCGATGAAGACCGGGGAATCGCCTCTCCAACCGGAGTGAGTGAGGAAGGCCGAGGAATCGCCTCATCAGCCAGATCGAGTGAGGGAGACTCGAATCGTCTTTCAGGCGGAGCGATTGAGGAGGGAGATCGAATCTCCTTCGCTGATTTTTGGATGACTAAGGAAAGAGTATGCGACTATATTTAGTAAGGCTAGCAAGGGTTTGCGAACCCTTAGAACAAATCTCTGGTACAATTAATTCCGAAAATTTTAGTAGCGGTTTCGTAACCCTTGGTATAGGTCATTTTCCTTATAGTGCACATGATGTGAGATAGGCTATTTAACTGAAGCATGCACAGGAATTACAATAGTAATCGTTAGGTTTCTTAACACGAGAAGAAGTACGATTTAAACAGTCAGTAGAATGCCTATCTAATGTATGATAGTTGAAAAGACCGATTTGCTCCCATTGAAAACTGACACCGAATGTATGATAGTTGCGTAGATATATGGATAAAAAGAAAATACGAGGATTGAACAGTGGTATAATATCCAAATTTCAAAATTGAATCCAACAAAAATATCTTCAAAAATATTAATCAATTTTATTACATTCCTTTGAGCAACATAACACAACTCAAACTAATTATTCCTGTTGGAAGTAGCAGCAAAACATAATGAGTAGAGTAACATTTATAACCTTCTAATAATTTTTCATACGATCGATCAACTATGGGAGGCGGGTGGGTGATAAGTTACAACACCAAGCTATCCACCAATTACAACACCAATGTTTATGATAACCGTCTGGTTGATCCTGGCTTACGGAACTAGATATCTCTTGAGGAAAATATCTAGCATTGGAAGCTTGACTTCCAATTATGAAACTCGCAATCAAAATGAAGCATATGGCTATGCGCAAATCTAGAGCCATGTGAATGATGATTTCATAAAATTCTGCTGATCACTCCTTTATGAGTAGGATAATGTGTTAGGCTCACACAAACATACGCAATATTTATATACTAATCTTCCTGGAATTTCGGTTGAACAAATCAATTTACGTAACCTTTTCTATAATTGGAAGATACAAAAAAAATTATTATTATATTTTTAGTATTTATGAACCAATTTGTTATAGCATCTCCATTGGTGTAATGGCATTTGCAATTGCATTTATTTTTTTTATTGTTACTTCATATTTTTGCAATCCAACTCATCTTACTTGTATTGCACCACATCAATGCAATTAACTTGCAATTGCAACTAATTTTTTTATTTAATTTATTAAAACATAAACACTCAAATAGCAAAAATAATGAATAATTTAATAATAAAAAATATGATGTGGCTTGCATTCCATAATTGCATATTTGCATTATATGCAAGCTTGGAAAGATGCAATTTTCATCTACATCAATGCAATTGCAAATGAATGTCATGTTATAATGCAATTCTAATAGCAATTCCAATGGAGATGCTCTTAGGCGTAGGTTATAGTACAAAACCCTTAGTTTTGTAGTCCAACAAAGTTAGACCCGACAATCAGCTCGGGTTGGGGATATCGGGGTGCAGGTCATCATGGGTCAGGTCATTTTGGGTTGGCTAAGGGTCATATATGACTCAACCCAAAACTTTCTGGCTAAGTTTCATATCATTTCGGGTTTGAGCATTGTCATAAACAATAGCCAACATGCTTCATATTTATTTCCTTAAAGAACAAAAGATTTCTTATCTTTATGGCAATAGTGTACATAACACTTGTCAATTAAAATATTCTCAAATCCTCTATGCTGTTGAAAGAAAATAGAATTGCACAAATCGGAAAAAAAATTGCAACTCGCTCAAAAAAATAAAGAGAGTAATACTACTACAATAAACACATAATATTTTTTTATAGGTACACTCCAAACTTGTCTTTCAAATCTTTGTGAGTTTTTAAAAATATCTCACAAATTTATGAGCGATTTTATCATTTTGAGGATGACATATGAACTGGAACAAGTTTGGAGTGATATAATTGTGGTACTCGGGATTTTTCCAAATGATTTTTCCAAATGATTTGAATTATTGAGACTAGTTGGTTTTCGACAAAGATATTGCTTTTTTTAACACAAATTAAAGCAATTTGAAAAACACTTATTTTAAAAAATCTAATTAAGTCTTTATCCTACCACAATTACTGAAATTAAGTCTTTGTTGTCATTGAAGCCATCAATCCTTGTGATAATATGTTGATTCCCGAGAGTACATTTTTTTCGGGTAAATGCCATATTTGGTCACTGATATTACTAAATTGTGTCATGTTTAGTCATTAGAAAAATTTACGGTAAATACAATATATTAGCCACAACTATTATGAAGCGGGGAATTACCGCCACTATTATGGAAATTCAAATTATTAGCCAAACGTTAACTCTCTGTTAACAATTCCGTTAGTAATGCTGACTAAACTTTTGTGTTTTAAAGTTATAAATTAAAAGCAGTCTGACATGGCTGCTGCTATGGCCGATGACGTGGCCTTCTCAGCCTAATGCCTTCTGAATTCTGATAGAGTACACCAGTTGTTGGTTAAGAAACCTAACAATGCCTTTGAAATACCGAAACAGAGACATAATGCAGCTTCTTTCCTCTGTGAGAGATTAGTACTTGGCTCATCAGGCTCCCATGTTTTCACAAGTCATAGCTTTCTTATTCAAATCCAAAATTTAATTCGTTTATTTTCTTCCATGTTGTACAATCAAATATCTATAATGAAACAGATATAGCACGTAATGCATTATTATCCCTAGCTATAATTGACTTGAACCTGAACGTGTCTAATAGTTTCAATATTATCTTCACTTCGAATCAAACTAATTAATTAGGACATGCACAACCACTAGCTAGCTAGCCAGCTAGGGGCATGCAAAATAATTATTATTAATCTTCCATTTAGGTCAAAACTTATGTTACCTAATTCGTCTACCCAACCCCACCGCTCCCGCTCTAAAGCGGCAAATCGCGATTTTCCCACAAATCGTAAATAATTCACGAATTGTATTTCACGGAATCGCGAATTATTTTACAGAAGAGCGCGAATCGTCAACGAACTAATCTCTTGGTTCTAAAACACGAAAGCAAGAGCTATGAATTGGAATCGAAGTCTTGATTTGGTAGTGAAACCTAAGAAATCCAACAACTAAATATATATGAAGACATCTGTAGTGGATGAGAGACATCTGTAGTGGATGAGAGTGGCTGACGAAGTGAGAAAGAAGATGGCAACCAATTCATAGGGTAATCATCTTAGCAAGATCGGGAGAATCATAGTTGATATGGGAAACAACAAGAATTTGAGTACAGAGCAACGAGAAAGAGGCCTCTGTTCAATCACCTTCCTCGCCGGCACCATGAATTCACGGCCTGCCGACTCCGTCGTTCTTCTTCTGCCCATAAAATTAGTTACAATAGGAGTCCAATCGACCGATTAATTGATCTAGTTTAGGATTAAGGCAAATGAAGAAGCATCTACCGCTTGCATTGAGAATGGAGACTGGAGAGTGAGAATCTGGGATTGAAACTTTGGGGGAAACAGAGGGAATTGCTTCCTCTGTGTTGGTGAATTAGATTGAAGAGAGAGAGGGAGTTAGGTTAGGTGGCTGGCGGAGAGAAAGTAAAGAGGATAAGAAATAAAAAAAAATAAACTGTAAATAAATATATTAACAAATGAATAAAATAATAATAACTTTTCTCGTATAAGAATACTAACTAATATGATAACATATTTTTTATACCATGAAAATTTTCTTTTCTTAACACTAATGGTATTACAGATAATTTTAACACAAAATTATTTATTAATTGGAAATTAATATGAATTAAAAATTTAATAAAAATAATATAATAATCACGCTCTATACACGCTCTTAATATTGAATTCTCTTAAACTAGACGCTTTCACGCTCTCGCTCCCGCTCCCGCTCCGCGAATTGGTTACCTAAGTCCAGCCTTCTGTTCAGCTGTACCAATCATTGTGAAATTCTAGATATCCTTAATGAAGCAAGTGTTGTGAAAAAATGTTAATTGCTAATGCATCATGCCTAGTTAACCTATTAACAGATAACAAGTTGAATGTGAATGTAGGGATCATTAGAACATCTCGAAGCAATAACTTGCTATTTAGCCAAACACTACCTATATGAGTTACTTGAACTCTAGAGCCATCTGGTAAAGAAACATCTGTGTTCTGAACTGTTCTAAAACTAACAAAAAATTGTAAAGAGCAAGCAACATGATCCGTATCACCCGTATCAACAATCCATTCAGTATTCAAAGTTATCATGCCAAGAGAAAGAGCAAATTTACCGAGGTCCTCACAAGGTGCAATGTAAGGGGCGGCAGTTCCTTGCTTCTGGGATGAAATGATCAATTGAGCAGATTCTGAGCTTGGAGCTGAGACAGACGATACATTTTGAAGCATGTTTACTGATCCGACTGTGGAGGAGGAAGCCATGGGTTTGCATTTGAGACTGCAGCATAGCAAGAAAGGCTGCAAACTGATTAGAAGAGAGCTGAACACCACCACTGGAAGCATGGTTATCATTATCAACAGCTGGTGAAGAGTCTTGATCATAAACAACTGCATTGCCACCTCCTTTGCCTTTGGCTTTGTATAAGGGGGGGGGGGGGGGGTAACCGTGCTTTTTGAAGCACTTGTCAACAGTGTGCCCTTTCTAACAGAGAATGATCTTTGATCATTTTCAAATCCCAACGGTCGACACCATCAAATGTCGCCGGATCATGCTTTCTTTTTTCCAAGACCTGCCGATCAGCAAAACGCCATCGTGTCCACTTACCTATCCGCTGCCGTTTTGCTACTTCTCTCCCTTCGATCAAGAATGAAGCAAAATGCCACCGTCTCTTTCATCACTCCGCTGCCGTTTTGCTATTTGAGTGTCTGTCTTTCTTTCGGTTTAAGTCTTGTTGTTGTTTCCATTCCAAGTAATAGGACAGAACTCTTTGACAGCTAAGAAGCTTGTCTTGTAGCTCCTTGATCTGCACTATATAAGCAGATGTTTGATCAATGAGAAGAACCAAGTGATTCTAGGGTTTTCAAACCACATTTGTTGTTATGGTATCAGAGCCCTTTAAACCCTAGCCACCGCAGCAATGAAGGCCCAACATGCTGATCAAAATGCAGCAGATGATCAACAATATGAAGAAGCTGTTGCACAGAATGTTCATCCTCAACCACAAGCAAACTACGTTCTGGAAGATCCATACTTCCTTCATGGTTCAGAGCAACCAGGTTCTCTGTTGGTGGGAGAGAAACTCAACACCACCAACTACAATGACTGGAGCATAGCTATGCTCAACGCTCTAGCTGCCAAAAACAAACTCGGTTTCATAAATGGAACCTTGGTCGAGTCAGCTGCCACAGATCCACGAAGGGATGCTTGGACTCGTAACAATGTCATGATCCTCGGTTGGATCCAGCAGTCAGTTAAATCTGAGATCCGCAAAACCATTCTCTCAAGCAAATCTGCCTCAGAAGCATGGAAGAGTCTTCAAACACGCTATGGTTCAGGTGATATTGTCAGGGTTGCTGAGTTGGAAGAAGCTCTGTCTACCTTGAAGCAAGGTAATCAAACTATAACTGAGTACTATGGCCAAGTTATCACTTACAGAGATGAACTTGAAAACTATCAGCCCTTGATT